TTAGTGAAGTGTTTGTTCAAATCATTCGCCCATTTTTAAGAATTGGGTTGTTTTCTAGCTATTGACTTTTAAGAGTTCTTAAAATATTTAGATACTAGTTGCTTATCAAGTATGTGATTTGAAAATATTTCCTTGCACTCTGTGGCTTGTCTTTTCATTCTCTTAATATTTTTTGAAGAGCAGGAGTTTTTAATTTTTTGGAGACAAGGTCTTGCTCTGTCATCCAGGCCACGGATGACAGTGACAAGTTTTTAATTTGGATGAAGTCTGATTTATCAAGGTTCTCTCTTATGAATCATGCTTTAGGTGTTGTATATAATGAAATTTTGCCTCATCACAAAGATCATAAGATTTTCTTCTATGTTTTCTTATAGAAATTTTCTAGTTTTAGGTTTTGCATTTAGGATTATGGTTCATTTTGAGTTAACTTTTATATATAAAATGTCTTTATAGTTAAAGTGCATTTCTTGTGGGTGGCATAGAATTGGGTCTTGCTTTTTTCTTTCAGTCTGACAATTTCTGTCTAATAACTGTGTTTACATAATTTGGGTTTAATGTGCTTATTAATATGGTTAGATATGAATTTATTATCTTCATATTTTTCCTACCCATCCTATCTGGTCTTTGTTCTCTTTTTCTACCTTCTTTTGGATGAATCAAGTATTTTTTATGATTCCATTCTATCTTCTTTGTGGATGTATTATCTATAGCTCTGTCTTGTTATTTTAGTGGTTGCTTTAGAGTTTATAGTCTGCGTCTTTACCTTATTACAAATTCAAGTGACATAGGTTGAAAAATTCAAGGTTGTTGAATTTTTTGTTGGTTAAGCAAAAACCAATCTAAGTCATCTGCCCTATTAACAGAATAAAGGAGAAAATAGTTTGATTACCATAAATGATGCAGAAAAAGCATTTGGCCAGTTTCGTACGTAGCCCATTCCTGATAAAAAATTCTCACCAAACTAGGAATAGAAGGGAACTTCTTCATTCTGATACAGGGCGTCTATGGAAAACCTACAGTTAGTTAATAGGATGCTTCATAGGAAAGACTAAACGCTTGGTATTCCCAAGGCAAAGATGTCTGTTCTTAATACTTCCATTCAAATTGTAAAGAATCCAGCCAGTGCAATAAAGCAAGGGGGAAAACCTCATACACATTGGAACAGAAGAAATAAAATAGTCTTTATTTGCAAAAGGCATGATAGTTTATGTAGAAATCCTAAGGAATCTACAAAAAGAAAAAACAACAACTAGGACTAAGAAATTAATT